GGTCTTCAAAAAGTGCCGAAAAGAAGACGATAGAGCCACAAAATTAAATTTCTTTAAAGGGGTGTTTTTAGAAATAATATTTTTAAAATACTCTGAAGTAATATAATAATTATTAATTTACTATATTATTACAGTAAATCACTTTTATGAAGCATTCCTTAGACATATACACCGAAATAAAGCTATTTTCACATTTTTACATACATATGTATGTACATACCTATATGCGAATATAGTTAAAAAAAATGCCTTTCTCTATAAACGTGCGAGCCTAGTGCTCAACCGCCTCCCGACGAAATACTTGACGGTGGTACCGGGGGTTCGGCACTTGGACAGTAGGAGGTTTAGTTCGGGGTGAAGTCCACACTGACGAGTATAGGTACGGTGAACATCCGTCCTGTATTATACGGGACAGTCCTCTTTTTTGACCAATTGTCCTGGTAATTTATTAATTTTGTACGGGACGCCAAATGTTCTGTATTTCTTTTGATGTCCTGCATTTGTCCCGTATTCGGTGTTCGGTATTTCGACGCCTTAACAGCTCATTAAAATGGCATGCCATGAACCAGTTTTAAGAGATGTTGGTATATGTATGATCGTATTTTTCTCCATAAACAGTTATTATTTTCTAACCCGAGATTGTAATCGAGGGATACATGCAGTGTCCAAAATATAAATTAGGACTCGACATTTTAGCAAGGTTTGGCTATTTGTCTTTAGTGTATTTAATGTTTACTATTTTTTTATGAAAGTAAAGCTCTTTTCTTAACAAAAGTCATATAAATCCAAATTTCAGACTTTGTGCAAAAAACTCTAAAACTATTTCTGCAATGTTTCACCAAAATTTTAAACTTTTTAGTTAGAATCTTAAAAAAAAATTGGTTTGCAGTTTTGTAACCCATTAGGATTTAGTATAATAAGGTGCAAGTGGAAAGTGCTGCTCATTTTCTTATCTTTTAAAAAGTTGTCGAACATACTTTGCATGACAAAAAATTTGTAACACCGTCTAAAACGACGATTATTTTTAAACAAATTTTGCGCGGTAAAAATCTCGAGAAGAATATCCTACAAATTTGTGATGTTACTATAAGGATGCTGTTTCAGGCATAATACATCTTGGATCATTGAATAAGGCTTTAAGCTCTGTAGGTTTTTTTGCAAAAAATATGCAAAATTATTTTTTGTCCCGTATTCGGCTCCCATAAATATGGTCACCGTAAGTATAGGCTTTCGATGTTTCTTCCTTGTAAAAAAAAAAACTATATGTGGAATAATGGCAGTGAGACGTTTTGACCAGTTTCGCCTATTCTTTTCATTGATTGATTTTATATAATTTTTTTAAATGAATGAAAATGCATAACACCGTCAGAAAAAAAAAAAATCAAAATTCTTCGGGATATTGCAGAAACTTGCGCTTTTATTTAATGGACTATAAAGCTGCAAACTTAGAATATTTCTAAAAATACTGAATTAAAAGCTTGTTGTTGCGAAAACTCACTTTTCGTACTACGTGTTCACAATAGGATTCAGCTGTTGAAAATATTTCTCACGACTCTTATTTAAATTTTTTAGTTGTATTTTGGTTGTCTATAATGGGAATGTGATTTTTTGTTGTATATTAGCATTTTTTGCCAAATTTCTATATTTTATGATTGTGCCAAAAGTGCCTCTGAGAATGAAAGTGCCAAAAATGGCAATATTGTGCTTACTTTTCCATCACTAGGAGAGAGATAAGCATTATACTTTGGAGTAGAGCACGGTTGCCATTTCCAATTTATTTTTCGGACCAAAAAATGGACCAAATGGTAAAAACTTGACCAATTTTTATTACATCGGGAAATTGAGTGGAGTATTCCTCTTTATCAAAAAAATATGCCAATTCAGTTTTTGGAGCGACTTTTTTTTATATAACATCCAAAGTGCATTAAAATTGTATATTATTAACATTATATTGTTTGAAGTTTTAAATTATAATTTGTTTCATAATTTCGTTTTTATTAATGATAAATCAAGAAATTTGCGCTCAGCTGCTGCGGAACTGTAAGGTAGACTAAAAATGTTATGAACTAAATCACACAATTCTCCAAAGGCCGCTTCACCTACTCCATTTTTAATCAAACTTACTTAATACCAAAAATGTTCTATATCGGTACATTTTTTGAAGTTACCTTCAGTCAGCCTTAATTTGCGAAATTGAAATTCAATTATGTCTGCATCATTTACCAATGCAGGAAATTGGTCGAGTAGCGGCAAAATTGATACATCAGTATCCGAAAAACCTTTGTGTGGTGTAATAATTTCAAGATGTTTAATATCTTTACGATTGAAATCGAATATAATTTTCATGTGCTAAATGCTATGATTTAAGTTTTGCTATCTTTCCGTATTTATGCCAGCCACTTTAATATTCGTCATGGAGTAATTGAAATTAGCAAGAAACCGCGTTATTTTTTGAAACGTGTTTTCGCAGATGATTAATAATAATAATAGATTGGCGCTTACACATGTTAGTGTTTGGCCGAGCTTCTCCTCCGATTTGTGCCGTGCGCCTTGATGTTATCACACAAAGCGGAGGGACCAACAGTTTTACGCCGACTCCGAACGGCGATTGTATTTTGATGAGAAGCTGTTTTTCATGGCAGAAATACACTCGGAGGTTTGCCATTGCCTGCCGAGGGACGACCGCTGTTAAGAAAAAAACCTTTTTTCTATATTTATGCGATGTTGCTTTGACCAGAGTTTGAACCCAGGCGTTGCGGAGTGGAAGCGCGCACTTCTTACCACTAAACCACAGCGGTCGACGACACAGAGATGATTAGCCATGCCATATTTGAAGATCAGTGACAAGGCGAGTTCACACTTTTAGCAGGTGTTGCCAATCGGCCATATGCTGAATATCGTCATCGTCATCGTCGGCGATCGTCAGCGCATCAGTAACATGGCTCGCGATGGCCGTATCGTCACTTTTACTGACGATGACGATATTCAACATGGGTCGAAATATTCATCAATTAAATAGAAAAAAATGAAAACGCGAAACTGTTGCATGAAGCAGAGCTGGGATACTATCGATAGTACCGCCACTCGATGGTTTTCGAAACGATAGCTTAAACATCGATAGTATCGATAGTACTATCGTCGTGAGAGGTATTGAATTGAAATGCTAAATTGCTTAAAAATTAAATAATTAATAAATTTATAATGTTTATAAATTACTTTGTAAGTTAAAGAGATTATATGTCTACTAATTTTTTATAAAAGTTGTACAAAACAAAAAAAAAACTACAAAATAATTAAAAAACTCACTCACACATTCTCATTTTCAATCTCAAACAACAACGACTTTGAACAATTCCTTTTTTTTACTCTCAATTTTAAACGATTATAAAATGTTGGCAAACTTCAAAAAAAAAGTCATGGCCGACGCATTGAGAGAACGGTTTTACCTTACTATGCTTTTATCATGATATAAACTCAAACTTTCAAATTTCAAAAAATATCCACCAAAACTTCCAACTTTTTTGTCAGATTTTTTTTTTTTAATTTTCGGGTTTTCAGTTTTGTAACCCATTCTGTTTTAATAATAAAGAGCTCGAATTTATTTTTATATGGAAGGAAATGCGCAACAGTCAGGAAAAGAAAAAATTATTTAAAATCTACCCGAATTTTTAGTCGGCTGAAACTTCCTCTTTGTCATACTGGAATGGGCTACAAAACTGAATATTCGAAATTTATCTAAAAAAATCTGATTAAAAAGTTTGAAATCTTTGTGGACATTTTTTAAAATCTGAATGTTTTTGAGGATTTCGCTCAAAATTTGAGACTGTTATTTATATCGTTTATGTTATGTCGGCAGCTGTGGTGTAGTGGTAAGCAGTGCGCGCTTCCACTCCCCACGCCCTGGTCAACATCGTAAAAAAATGTAGGAAAAGGGTTTTTTTTCTTAACAGCGGTCGTCCCTCAGCAGGCAATGCCAAACCTTCGAGTGCATTTCTGCCATGAAAAACAGCTTCTTATAAAAATATAATCGCCATTCGGAGTCGGTGTAAAACTGTAGGTCCATCCGCTTTGCGTGACAACAACAAGGCAAACGCCATAAATAGGAGGAGAATCTCGGCCAAACACTAACATATGTGTAAGCGCCAATCTGTTATTATGTTATAGAATGAGCTTTACTTTTATAAAAATATTATACAAAATTAATAAAGTAAGTTTACTTTGTGCTTTGAGAAGTTTTTGTACATCTGAAAAATAAATTAAATATTAAAATCTATCCTTTACATATGTATGTATACCTAAATGGAAAATATATACAACAAGCATTACACTTTATAATTTGCGTTCAGAAATATGAGCATTCTGGCTTTCTCCTCATCTAAGCGCATTCTTCGTTCACTCAAAATAAGGCCAGCTTGAAAAAAGAGCCTTTCACAAGGTACTGAAGACCCTAAACATCCTAACTTTTCTCGAGCTATAGGAGAAATATACGGGTACTTATAGTTATTCTCCCTCCACCACTTGAATGGATCAGCGATCCGAGTAATAACATTCTCTTCCATATATCTTTGGATTTCTATAATTGCACGCGAATTAGTTTCCCCTAGGTTTATTTAAGCCAATATTGGAGTCCCAGCAGCTAGATATTGAAAACTCTGTTGTTTCAGGCTGTGGAACTTCGAACTTATGGGCTTGTACTTGCTGCACTGCTTTGCTGACTTCGGCAGTTATTCGATTTTTTGATTACGTCAGCTATTGAGGAGTCAGAAAATACAAAAGTTTTGAAGCGGGGGTCCAAAAATGATGCCATAGCGAGGATGTTGCTCCTCTCTGTATTTCCCAACCGTTCCAATATACCTTTCAATAAAGCGACTCCTTTTACTGGTTCTGTGAACGTGTAAATTTTCATGAACCGAGTGAATACACTTTTAAGACCATTCACTATTGGAATAACCATTTATCCTGTACAATACTTCTGACCGCTAATTTCAATAGTTGCGTAGTCAAAAGGTAATTTTCGGCAATTCTTTATCAATGAAGGCCAGAGTGCTTTTGACAGCATCTTCGTCTTTAATAAACCGCTCAACCATGTATAGAGTTGAATTCCATCGAGTCTCTACACTCTGAATAAGTTTAAGTGGTTCGGTGCCAGCATTACGTTGAAATGCAATGAATTTTTCATTAGTACCAGTGCTTTTGCGGAAGTAAGCGACAATTTGTTTCACTTTTTGCAATGTTGAACTGACAATCTGACCATTTAAACTATTTTTTACTATTAAGTTTAGCGTGTGCGCAAAACTACTTAGATGCCGCCATTTAAGTTCGTTCTGTATTGAATTTTTAATATTGCTGGCATTGTCGGATACTGCAAGCAATATATTTTCAGACACACCCCATTCATCCATAACTTTTTGTAGTTGTGCAGCTAAATTTTTAGATGTATTTGCCTCACTCATTGAGGAACAATCAAGCAAGACGTTGCAAAGTTCAAAATTCTCGTTAACGAAATGCGCAGTGATAGCCATATAACTTATTTTGTTGCGAGATGTCCAACAATCCGTTGTAATACAGAACTTAGCAACGCCCGCGACTTTCACTTCACTTCTGCATAACATTCGTCTTACAAAGCCGGAATGATTGTTTTTGAAATTGCATGCCGACTTGGCAATTCATATGCAGGATTCAATCAAGCTAAATGGCTGCAAATCATTTATAAACAGCAATGGCATTGCTGTATCAATCTCCTTTTTCGATTAAGCAGACAACTTTAAGTTGCTAAAACCACTGTTCAGTTTCGTTTGATGCAAAATAGGTTCTGAGATGGTTCACATATTTTCAAGATCCGTTACCATTAGCTGTGTGAAAGTTTAAGAACGCTACCTTGTTTTTGATTACGTCTTGGAGTTAATTCTGGAATCTCTGATTGCAATACGGGACAAACTGTTTGCTTCTATAATAAAATTAAATTAAATTAAGTTTATACATACATACATATGTATATGATTTGAAAATAATAACATATCTCTATCCTCGGAAGTTCCACAGTGGGGTGCCGATTTTGCATATGATTTTTTAAATTTGTAAGCGATGTTTTATAAGAGATGCTCTTTTTCAAATATTGCATTTTGCATGTATATCATTCTCTGGCTCCAAGAACTGCCACATTTCGCTTCGTTTTTTTACTAATATTGGATGCCATTTTCCATGCGTACGTTTCATTTCAAAAATTTTAAAGCTTTAAAACGTCATAAACCTGACAACCGAAAAATTCACAGCCACATTCAAATAAGATGAAAAATCACAATATTCACAAAACAAACCTTAAAGGTAGAAAATTCACCACTAGCAAAAAATTCACCAACAAAGAATTCACAGCCAGAATGCATAAAAGCAAAAATCGCCAATCACTATTTCCGTTGACTAGCAGTAGCTGTTGCTATAAATGATTTTTAATTCACAGTGAAAAAATCACCGATAGTGAAATATCGCTCATCACTAGTGAGTACAGCGCTTGACTTCCACGCGTATGCCTACTATAGTAGTCCGTGCGAGTATTGATTTACTGAATTTATAATCTGGTTACTTTGTATATACGGTGCATCAGTGTTCTTAGAAACTGCCGCCGATGGCCACTTAAAATATTTTTCAATTTGATGAACATTGCTCTCATATCAACCAAATGAATGTCAATACTAAAAAAAAATTTCACTGCTAACTTTTTTTAAACCCGCTTTGAATCTCTATACATCCATTGAAACACTTCTCTAACAACTAAAATTTGGAATAGGGAAGCTCTTAGGAGCATCTCAAGAAGTGCAGCCCGATATAATACAAAATTTTAGTTGGCCGGTTCACCTATTGTACCAGAGCTCTAAGTCCATCCACAAAAAAGTGGTGCAAGACTTGTAACAAATGGATTTGTCCTGATCACCAGCCTGCGGTGGGCTCTCAATTTTACGAAAACTGAAATTTTTTAAGTAATATTTGTTTAAGAAGAAAATGTAAGACATTGATCTAAGAAGTAAAGTTATAATTATTTTTTCTGCTACATAACTAAATTATATTTTTTTTCAAATTCCTACTTGATATGAAAAAATTTAAGTTTGTGATCGTAAACATAATAGATATAACTATAAGTATCATTTAAATGTTAACTAAAAAGCCTTTATTGACATTTTAAAATGTTCTACTATAGTAGGCCAAGCGTGCATTGGTGTGAAAAAAAAAACAACGCGTGCACTCTAGTGTTAACAATATATGAGGCTGTTATATTACTGTTATTATTACAAAAATGTAATTTTATTAAATTTTATTACCGATACTTTGAGTTATCTAATTCCCTAAATTAAAGTTATCTAATTCCCTAAATTAAAGTTGAATTTGATTTTTTCAACCGGTGGCAACCCTGGTAGGTTGCTTAGAGATAAAGCCTTTTCAAATCCATTTCCACTGATACCCATATTGCAGCAATTCATTTAACTAATTGAACAAATTTTTTAAACAGGTGGAAACTCCGTTAATGTTTTAACCTAGATATAAACCTTCTACTCGCTGAGGCGACCACGTAAATATGCGTGTGCCTATAATCGGGCCGCGGCAACATGGAGTCTATCGATGTCAAACGTTAGGCAACTTTATTTTCTTTGTTGGACGTCTTCCCCTTTACTTACTTATTTCATTTACTTCATTTTAAACATTTACAATTTTGTATGTAAAAACACGTCTTTTCTAAACATTTCGAGTTGAGATATTCATAAAAATAATTTTGGCCGCATAAATCGGCCAAATACCCCTATGTGTTTTCATACTCAGTTTCAATCGGATTCCAGAACCAGCCTGATATGTATGTATGTATGTATGATATATCATTGAATCGCGAATTTTATCAGTCAAGTTATCCTTGACTTGTCTCGTTAGAGATTAGTTGCAAAAAATTTTGCCCAGTAAACATACTTATTCAACCCAATAAAGTCAGTATTTTAAATGCAATGATCTTTAGTTATAAAAGTTATGCTTAACATTCTTCTTCTTTATTCCTTTAAAGGATATTCTAAAAAACGTAGAACTTCCTTACATATACTATTACAGTTTTACATAATTAATGTTTAGTTTACAGTAAGGGCTTTAATATTTTGAGCGTATCACTTATAATCTATCCTTGAACGAGAACACCGATTTACAGTTCAATCTAAATATTTATCTTATATATTAGTCTGTTCCAGTGCCCGTCAGATTCATAGGATTTAGTCAGAAATAGTCAAGATTTAGTCCAGAAGATATTACTAAAAATATTAAGGGATTTCACGATTTATAGCAACTTTGCGCATATTTTACGGATAGAATACTACAAAACCTCCCGTATTATAAATTCTGACTAAATCATGTAAATCTGACGGGCACTGGAACATACTATTAATTTGTGTTGATTTACGTTCGTTCAAATAGACACGTGTTTATATAGTAGTATTCGTTGAGCAGTCATTTTAATTCTTATTAAATACATACACATACATATGTATGACTCTCCAAATGGACCCTAGAGTAATCGAAGAATTTGGCACCGAATTTTTTTAGTTTTGAGATTCTCCATTTGAAAATTTGGACACAACTTGTTTTCACATGCTTTGAACATTTGGCTATATGCACTTAGGTATGTATGTACATTAGACTGCATCACTCCCCATACAAAAAAAAATCGGTACTATTTTTCCATTGGAATTATTAAATCTACTATATTTTAAGACGTCCACCAAAATATTTCGGAAAAATATTAAGACTTAAGTGAGCTGGACCGATTTGAAAATACCTCCAAAAATGGTTTTTTTATGAATAAAAATAATTTCTTAAAGATTTCTTTTGAAAAAATCCCCTCAAATGACAAAACGGCTTAAGCTTAAAATATTTGCATAAAAATATTAAAAAAAAAATTTTAACGGAATCGTAATGATGATGCTGTTTTTAGCATTTTTCAAAGATTGGTATAAGAAAAATTTGAATAACTGAACCTAAACTCTTCCGATTTAGACTTAAGAGGTGTCATTGGAAAGGTATTTTCTCACCCTTTTAATTTATTTGCTAATAAACTTATTCAAAGGATGGAAGAGAAAGGTAGGAGAAACGAACCTCATTCAAAGTTGAATTAAGATCTTTGGTATTCGAAAAAAAAGATGGGACACGAATGACGCTTTTTTTGGCCAGAAATAAAAACGGTGTGAAAATACCTTTCTACTGAGATCCCATAAGTCTAAATCAGAACATTTTTGGTCCAGTTATTCAAGTTTTTCGTAAATCAATCTTTGGAAAAAGTAAAAAAACAGCATCAAAAATCTCATTCTTACGATTCCATTGAAAAGATTTTTAAATATTTTTATGCAGATTTTTTAAGCTTATACCAATTTGTCTTCTGAGGCGACTTTTTAAAAAATGTTCTTTAAGAAACTATTTGTATTCATAAAAAACTTCATTTTTGGAGGTATTTTCAAATCGGTCCAGCTCACTTAGATCTTAATATTTTTACGAAATATTTTGGTGGACGTCTTAAAATATAATAAATTTAGTAATCCCAGCGGAAAAACCGCAACTTTTTTTGGTGATGCAGTCTAATGTACATATATGAAAAATTAACTTGCGCATACAAACACACAATCGCGGTCATGGGTGAATAAAACTTAAGGCTATGTATTAGATTTGCTCCTTATAACAAATTACAACAATAATAGTTGGTTACAGTATATTTTGCTTAGCTGCCCTTCCTTCTTTGCACGAAAAAACTTGTGCGCCTAACCGAAAAAAGCACTTAAGCGAATATTCTTTACTGCTTCAATGAGGAGGGTATCCGAATCCCTATGAAATCAAATAATGGAGGAGCACTTACCACGTAATTACTGCAAACGAAATTTTTGCCCTAATAGTATTTAACTGTCTATATAACTTCATAAAATGATTCGTTTTCGTTATTCTGCGAGATGAGCAAAATAAATGAATGCTTGTAAAATTAGGGTAAGTGCAGAGCCAGTGCAGGTAAACGTAACACTTTCTTTGATAATTGATTAAAAATAATGCAGTTGATGCGCATTTTGGGGTAGGTGGTATCTTAAATGTGCACTTAAGCATAAATACAGCAAAGCAAAATATACTGTATTAAAAATTAGCCAATGGTGTTCTAATGAACCATTCACTTTATTATATGTATATGTATTTATAATTTTATTATTTTTTTTTTATAGAAACGAAACTATAAACTAATTGCCTTAAGGCGGATTCATCGTTGTACTAGTTCTGAACTTTCCTTCCATGTGGTTATTGTTGCGTTCCTCTCCAAGAAAAAAGTTCTGACTTGAAACGATGAATCCGCCTTTATTCATAAAAAATAAAATAGGTTTTAAAGCTTTATATAAATTTAAAGTCTTATTTATTTTTTATGACTTTGGGTGTAGCATGTATTTGAGTGAAACCATTCGGCCTTATCTCCAACTATATGTGAACAAATATTCCCAAAAATTATAAAGCAAAACAGAAAAAATGT